CTCTGGATAATTAACCTCTCTTAGCTCTAGTTTCTTTATCTGGACTGGGGGATACTTCTGTCTGCCCCTCCTATCACCTGAAGGTGCTCTGAGAACAACTCATTCAACAGACACCCATGGAGTAACTACTATGGGCCCAACAGGTGTGAATGTGCTTTGTTATATGGGACAGAGAGTATGAATATGACATCAAATTGAACCTAATTTTTCTATAATCTATTTAGTAAGTATTATGCCTCTATGCTGTGGGACTCCATGGCCCTCCAATAGATTCCGGTATGTAAAATGTGAAATTTAAATTTGGCGTGGGAGATGAAGGTCTTCAAGTCAAAATCCCTTGAGCTTTTTCTCCCAACTCCTGTGAGTGAGCATTTTCATTCAAGAAGGAGGGAGAGGACAGGTAAGTTCTGAGCTTGGGAAGCAGCCACCTATCCTGGGGTTTCTGGTCCAAATAAGTCTAGGTTTTGGCTATTTACGTCCTTACAAATTGGAATCAGAGTGGCAGGTGCTTTAAAAAGTGGAAGTGCATTTTGCACAAAAAAGCAGTAGGATCTAGGTCATTAAAGACTCAACCTTCAACCCAAAACCGAGGTACACAAACATGAGCCCTGGACGCTGAAAGGCAGCATGAACGAGGCCTGGCATTTTGAGTTGGCTGGAGAGGGGATCCCACTGTGAAGCCATGCTTTTCTTATGCATGGGGTTAGCTCACACTAAGCCACTGGGAGATTAGTAATATACACTTCTCCTGGGACAATAAAAATCATACGCTGCCTGGAAAAATAGTAAAACACTTGGCATGGTTGATAAGACAAGGACAGAGGCTACTTAAAGAAAATGGCAGATTCTGAAAATGACAAGCACAGAGGGCGTTTAGGAGAAGTTGAGCTTGCGCTTGGCTTTTCTAAAATCATTCTTCACTAAAATAAATCACTTATGTGCTTCCAGCATGTTCCATTTCTTTTCTGGCCCTCATTGTTTCTTAAACCTCACCAGCAGCTGTGTCATGGGACATATTGGTTGCCTGCCCTTGTGCCTACTTCTGGGTTTGAAGAATTTCCTAAGGCATTACTGGGATTTTTCTGAATGCTCTGCTTGGGCAGTAGACAGCCATGACCATCCTGGGGGATCACAGGTCACCAACTATATTACCTTCTCCTTTCCAGGCCAGGGGTCTAGGCTGTTGGACTGCCACACCCCACTGGCTTTTCCAAACTGTCTCTTCCCCTTTCACCCTCATTCTCAATCCTGAAGGGGCTGTGTATGATTACCTGTGCTCTCCTGGGCCCTCATCCTTATAAGGGTCCTTTAGTTCAGTGCTACTGGGTTTTTGGTGGGTTAACCCATTCCCAGATATTGTACCCTTTAAAAAGGTGTCCCAAGAAGTGGAAGGAAGGGACACTCTCATTTCCTGCTATGCAAAGCACAGGGGAAACTGCCTCAGAACTCCACCAAATGATAAAAAACACTGCTGGAAACTGGGTCGGCTACGTTTCAAACCAAGTAGTCTCTGTCTCCGCCTGCTACTATGAGAACAGTATTTCTCAGAGCCCAGATGTTACTTGAGAACAAGAGGGGAAAGAAAGATTCCGTAGCCAAATAAGTCTGGGAAATGCTGGATAATACAACTGGAGAGCTTTCATTCCTCTGTGACTTTTTAGATCCTTTGATCTACTAATTGTACCAAGTCTCTCCAAGCCTGAGGAATGATAGGCAGCACTTCCCCCAAACCCTCTGCCCGCCTAATCTTTGCTTCAAAACATTCCTCGTGGGACTAATGTTCCAAAAGTAACTTCGGGACATGCTCGTCTAGACTTACAACCCCCGGGTTCAGTTTCTCCCAAGGAGAAAGCAGGATCATAGTGACAGAATTGGGGACAGGGAAGAAATGGAGCAAGAATCTAATTCTGCAAGTACCTGCCAATACTTAAGCTGAATTTCCCAGGGAAAAAATGAGTTTCTCTGGAAAAGCAGCAAAGTGACTGATCTATCTTATTTCCTCATTTTCATGTGTTCTGATCTCTTAATAAAGCTCAAGAGGGAATGTCAGCATTCTGCAGCAGCTTTTCCAGAAGATATTGTTGGTTAATCCCCAGGGTCAAAGGAAAGTCAGTACTCGGGGCCTGATGGGAGGGAATCAGGAATCCCTTGGAAGAGGCCTCTTCCTTCTCAGTGAGTTCCACTAGCATGGGTACATTATGGACATTTACTTTAAATCTCACCCAAATGCATCCATTATTCAGACCCTACTGTCAGCACACACTGATAGAAGGATGTCACTTTCTGCTAAGAAGTGGCTCTGCTCCATGCATATTAGTACACATGCTTACACAGTTAGGTGCAGAGTGTCAATCAACTGGGACAGACCTGCCAACCTTGCGATGCTGCTGTATTCTGGGACTTAGTTTCCTAGTAACGCACACATTCATTCATGAGTTTTTGGTGGTGATGAATCTCAAATCTCTGGTACAGGGGAGAGCATTCTTGCCCTGGACCTGGGACCCCTAGTCTGTGGGGAAGCAGCCCAGGGGACCTTTCCATCTCCGTCACTGGAGCCACGTCACTGACACCGGGGGTCCTTGCCTAGCGAATGGAAAGAGTGCGAGACACCCTTACGGCTGTGCTGACTCCAATTCAAAGCCACAGAATTACCTATGTGGTCGAGGGTATTTCATCTCACAGCGAACCCCCCTGCAGAGTAAGCCCCTAAGTCATGGGCCCCTAATCATGTTCCAACTACTTTTATCTGTCATGTCCTGATTAACGTGATCCAGAAAAAATGAATGACAGATCGGATGCCCCAGACTTTGACCTCGGACTGGACAGCAAACCAGGAAGGCAGGGGTTCTGTCCCACCCGTGGCACTCCACCCGAGCCCAGCGCAGCGCTGGCAGGGAACGTGTGCTCCCGGCACTCCTTGAATGAGAGAATAACCAGCAGCAGGATTCGGTTGGCTCACGCCCTCCTCTAGCAGCCTGGATGCCGCATCTTAGGAGAGGAAGAAGCTGTCTGCCTCTGCAGCCGTGGGCTGCTCAGGGTGATCACTGAGATGGGGACGCGGGAGTGCAGGCGGCCCCATCTTCCTAAGAGCAGCCGTGACAAAGGGGTGCATCAGAGGTCCTGACGGTGCATCTTAGCCGGACGCTCCTCGGGAATGCTGACTGCCCTGGGAAGGGTGCTGCCCCCAAGCACTGATTCCTGCCCTAGGACATCCTCTCAGACAAGCAAGCAAGTACTCTAGTTAGTGATTAGAGACCTCTGGGAAAGAGGCAGGAGACCAGCCTTTGTAAGAAACATCATTCACGAGGCAGGTAACTGTGACCTGGCGCCCTCTTCCCAGCAGCGTGGATCAGCGTGCGCATCTTTTTGATGCAACAGACCCTTCAGTTCTCAGCAGACCCCTGGGTGACCCACTCCTCCAGTCTGGTTCCAGATGCTTCCTTCTGCCCCGACAGTGCTCTCTCTTTCTGTCTCTCTGGGAAAAAGCCCAAAGGGGCTTTCTAGCACCAATAACACCTCACACCTGCCCCTCACAGCAGGTGGTCAAGGAGCAAAGAGGCATGTGCCCGAGACCGAAGTAGTTAACAGGATGCCAGGCATTCGGGCAGATGAGTGTGCAGAGATGGTGGTGGTGATGGATGAGAACTGAATAAATAAAACCAGATCAAACCAAAACCAAAATCATAGACAAACGAGAAAATGACATAATCTCTTTCTCCACTGGGCTGATCTCCAAATCGAGAACCACTTTTTAGAGCTAATAACAGGAACTGGTGCCCTTCTGCACATGGCTTCAGAAACCTAGATGTCCTGCACCTATAGTGTCGGGGTCTCCGAGGGCAAATGCTTCCCGGTACAAGGAGTAGGGCCGAGCTGGGGGCAGGGGCGGGGAGCCTCCTGTGCAGTAAGGCCACCTCACTGCACAATCTCAGGAAGCATTCGTCATGCTGTGCACTATACAAATGGCTCTCCCTGGAGTTGGACTCCTGGTAAAACATGCTGGATACCCGCAGTCTTAACTTCTCTTCTGAGAGGCCAGTGACGTGAGGTGAAAAGGAAACAGAGCCATTTGAAAAAAGGTTTTAGGGCCTCCTAAGCATATTCTTCTCCAGCAAATGATTAAACCCCTCTTCACACAGGTAATTCCAATAAGCAGAAATACACAGCAAAAGCATTCACTTATCCACATGGTTCTATTGCATTACCTATGGCCCCATCCCCCCTGAAATTTATTGCACAGATTATACTAGGATCATCAAAAAAAAAGTCATAGTACAATAAAGGAGAAAATACTGCTAAATTGACTGTATTATCTGGCAAGTTTGCATTTAATTAGAAACTGTCTATGAAATTCACCTTCGAGAGTGTTAATACTAAATACTGTAAATAGTTTTTGCATTTGGTGGGTGAGCACAAATATCACTGAAAACCACAGGAAGTTTTTGTTTTTTCTTCATCCCTCTTTATCTTGCTTGACTTAGTCAAGGGAGACGATAGGGTCCAAATCAAAGAAACCAGACCCCTCGAGTCCACTGGCTAAAATGCAAGCAAAACTGACTTCTCTTCATACTGTTTCACCACCCTGCTCATTTGCATCACTAAGGAATTTTCTAGGAAAGTGCTCAGTAAACTCAGGACTTCTCTGCTTGGCAAGCTCGGGGAAACAGAACGCTGTCTCTCAAAACTCTGAGAGAGAGACATTCCAAAGCCACCCACTATTAGATACCGAGCCAGCAACAGGCTACATATCTCTGCAAAGAGAAAGGAAGGGAGGGAAGAAAACGCATAACATAAGCAAGAACAGACAGAACCTTTGAGAGGAAGGAGAAAGGAAAACATTTAGATTCCTTGAGTGATGGAAATAAATACCAAAGCTATTAGTTTCAGTTCAAAGAACATATCACTTTATGCTGTTTATTATTTCTTGAGGATTATTTATTTTACCTTAAAATATCCAAAGGGTAAAAGGGGTCCCGGAGCTGAGAGGCAAGGAAACTGACCTGGTCAGGAGAGGGCCTGTGGTTGGCGTGCTGCGACCTCCCGGGAGACCGGTGGTGGTGGTGGTGGTGGTGGTGGTGGTAATGGTGGTGGTCCTCGTCATAGCTGTCCGCCATCAGCTTCATCCTGTTCTGGGTCTGCATGGGATGACAGCCAGAGAAGATGCCATCAGAGCTCCAAGGCTGGCCCATGGGACTCAGGACATAATGACAGCACCCACCGGGCTCCCTCTGTTCCTAATCTCAGGGTTGTCACTCTTGGTCAAATTGAAATTAGATAAAAAAATGCACCATGCCATTAGCTTTGGGGCAACAGCTTTTATCACATCCCAGATACATGGATCTCCGATGTCCATGTACATATACTTCTCCCAAGTGACTTAGAATGGGACCACTGGGCATATCCTAAGGTGCTTCAGTTTCCTAAGGTGGTCATTGAGTGATCACAGAGATAGAGGGTCTGCTTGCAGTCACACGCTACCACCAATGACACCCTCCATTCCCTACACGCAAGACTAGGAAGCCCTGGGTGAGCAGACAGGAACCGGCAGGGTGCAGACAGAACTACAGATGTGCAATGCTCTCGTGAGACAAGGCAGAGAAAGACCCGCAAAAGCTGCCGAATGCAAAAACATTTGACGGAGAAGGTCTGCTGCTGACTTCTTGCGAAAGAGCTCTCTGGGGACATTTGAACCAAAGCTGCTCTCTGGGGAAATTCAGCAGAAGGAACGCATCCCTAGAGAAGAGCTGACCGCTAATCGATGGCCCACTGAGTGTGTCCCCTGAGGCAACTGGGTGTCAGGGTGACCCCCCCCCAGGGCCCCAGAACTGTGCAGCTTTACCATGTGGGCCAGGAAACAGACCTGCAGTGCATTGGCCTAGCTGGTCATAGAGAGGAGAAAAATGCCTAAAGACCACGGAAAAAGTTGCATAAAACTCTCCAGCCAAGAAAGCCAGGAAATACGGAGACTGCAAGTGTGGGCTTGACACCACGACTGTCTGCATTCAAGTCCTGGTCCATCTCTTGCTGGCTGTGTGGTCATCTGAGAAGTAATGCTTTCCAGGCCTCAATTTCCTTAGTGAAAACGGGAGTAGCGGTGCCTCCCATCCCGGGGTGGCCATGAGGAGCCAGTGACAGGGTGGACTTCAGGTGTCATTTCAAGATCTGGCGTGTAAAGGGCTTGCTGGTAAAAGTCAAATGCCATTATTACCACTAGGGTTGTGGTTCACTCTAAGAAACCTTTCCTTCTGTGCTTTGCCTGCGATCTCTCCCCCAGCCGCCTTCACTCACCTCTAACCTCCATGTCTGGGTAACTCAGTTTTTTTGTGTAGGAGCCCCCAGCCTTGAGGCCAGGGGCCCTGTACCTCCTGGTCACTGCTGGTAGGAACCTTGAATCTACCCATCCATCTGTCAGTAGACACAAAGCTGTTTCTTTCATATGCCTCTTCCCAGAATCCAGCACAGGGCCCAGGAGAAGCAAATATACTACGCACGTTGCTGCAATGTGTGGCTGAAAGAAGAGGCCCAGCTTTTGAGGGATGCTGCATTCTAGAGGCAAGCCACACATTTCTTCTCAGCCAGGGAAGGTCACCGAGAGTTGAGGACATCTCACAGGTTGCCACAATAATCCAACAGGTGGCTCGAGATGACAGTGAGCCAGCAGCACTTTAAAAGAGCTGGAAGTCAGAGGCGAGCAGAGCCTCCGACCAGTTGGAATTATATCATGTGATGTGAATAAGACCCTGATGATAATTCTCGACCTAACATGGTATATATTCCTGCTGCACTTTTTATGTGCAATTTAACTTAATACTCAAAACCGTCCTGGGAGGAATTCTTACTATCCTTATTTATGGGACCACTGGGCATATCCTAAGGTGCTTCAGTTTCCTAAGGTGGTCATTGAGTGATCACAGAGATAGAGGGTCTGCTTGCAGTCACACGCTACCACCAATGACACCCTCCATTCCCTACACGCAAGACTAGGAAGCCCTGGGTGAGCAGACAGGAACCGGCGGGGTGCAGACAGAACTACAGATGTGCAATGCTCTCGTGAGACAAGGCAGAGAAAGACCCGCAAAAGCTGCCGAATGCAAAAACATTTGACGGAGAAGGTCTGCTGCTGACTTCTTGCGAAAGAGCTCTCTGGGGACATTTGAACCAAAGCTGCTCTCTGGGGAAATTCAGCAGAAGGAACGCATCCCTAGAGAAGAGCTGACCGCTAATCGATGGCCCACTGAGTGTGTCCCCTGAGGCAACTGGGTGTCAGGGTGACCCCCCCCCAGGGCCCCAGAACTGTGCAGCTTTACCATGTGGGCCAGGAAACAGACCTGCAGTGCATTGGCCTAGCTGGTCATAGAGAGGAGAAAAATGCCTAAAGACCACGGAAAAAGTTGCATAAAACTCTCCAGCCAAGAAAGCCAGGAAATACGGAGACTGCAAGTGTGGGCTTGACACCACGACTGTCTGCATTCAAGTCCTGGTCCATCTCTTGCTGGCTGTGTGGTCATCTGAGAAGTAATGCTTTCTAGGCCTCAATTTCCTTAGTGAAAACGGGAGTAGCGGTGCCTCCCATCCCGGGGTGGCCATGAGGAGCCAGTGACAGGGTGGACTTCAGGTGTCATTTCAAGATCTGGCGTGTAAAGGGCTTGCTGGTAAAAGTCAAATGCCATTATTACCACTAGGGTTGTGGTTCACTCTAAGAAACCTTTCCTTCTGTGCTTTGCCTGCGATCTCTCCCCCAGCCGCCTTCACTCACCTCTAACCTCCATGTCTGGGTAACTCAGTTTTTTTGTGTAGGAGCCCCCAGCCTTGAGGCCAGGGGCCCTGTACCTCCTGGTCACTGCTGGTAGGAACCTTGAATCTACCCATCCATCTGTCAGTAGACACAAAGCTGTTTCTTTCATATGCCTCTTCCCAGAATCCAGCACAGGGCCCAGGAGAAGCAAATATACTACGCACGTTGCTGCAATGTGTGGCTGAAAGAAGAGGCCCAGCTTTTGAGGGATGCTGCATTCTAGAGGCAAGCCACACATTTCTTCTCAGCCAGGGAAGGTCACCGAGAGTTGAGGACATCTCACAGGTTGCCACAATAATCCAACAGGTGGCTCGAGATGACAGTGAGCCAGCAGCACTTTAAAAGAGCTGGAAGTCAGAGGCGAGCAGAGCCTCCGACCAGTTGGAATTATATCATGTGATGTGAATAAGACCCTGATGATAATTCTCGACCTAACATGGTATATATTCCTGCTGCACTTTTTATGTGCAATTTAACTTAATACTCAAAACCGTCCTGGGAGGAATTCTTACTATCCTTATTTACAGCTAGAAAATCAAGCATAGATTTCAGCCTCCAGAGACTCTTCCTTGACACAGAACGTGGAGATTTCCCGAGTCTTCCGATCCTCAATCCCCAGGCTTTTCTCTGGACCATGCTGCTAGCAGAGAGGGCAAATGACGACACAAATAGGAAGAGCCTTCCCATAAATGCTTTGGCTCTGTTCAGTTTTGGAAGCACCTCACAACCCGATTCTACCTGCCACAGGATGTCTCAAGATTTACTCGCCCCGGTTTCCAACACGTCTACAATACTGGAAAAGTCGCCGAGTGGACGTAAAACACGAAATGCAGGTATGTGGATAAAAATGGTAAAAATAGAAGTAAAGACCCACCTACAAATTAAATAAAACATCCCGGGCAACCTTTGGCAGCTGATAGCATTTCCATCCCTCACTTGCCCACGTAAAGTGAGAGAAGACACCCAAGGGATGAATTACATCTTGCAAGAAGGAGCAGGTCCGCGGAGGTGTGGCTGACCAAGTACCGCGAGTCCCCTTATCTGACCTGTCCTTGTACATGCGATGCTGAAAAAGCGTTCACAGCCACAACTCCGGCGTTGTCAGGAGCCTGTACCTTGGAACTCATGAACTAATAAACCTGGAGCTGTGTCTTTCAACAGACTTCTGAGAGCATGAAGGGAGCTGTGAGATCTGCGATGGCCATGAAGGAAGGGACTCGCTCAAGAAAGAACAATGGAGCCCTAAACGAACAAACAAGAGCCCTGCTATTGTGAACGTCATCACAGCCTTATCCTTTGGGGAGGCTTCTGTGATTTTATGAGGTTATTCTCTTCCCCACAAAAAAGCCTAAAGGTCCCTACCTTTGAACTCTATCCCATAAAAGAATGCACATGCTAAACAAGATGCTGTATGCAGTCCTAAAAGTGTCTGCTGAAATGAGGTGTCAGAGAGGAGGCACGTCATGGGATAAAGGCTGTAAATGAATGATGCCATCTTTCCAATTTGGTGCCGAAATATAAATAAACCATGTTGTTCATGTGAAAGAATCTAATCAGATTTCATTTTCTACTTCTTCTTTCTTCTAGGCACCACCTAACTTCTCTAGGGCAACGGGCTCCGCAGAGCCCTCCTGCATCTCTGTTGCGTCCCACTGAATGCACCTGCAGCCAGAGTCACAGCAGACCAGCAGACCACAAATGCTTGGCTTCAGGTTCCAAGGCTCCGTGCTGCCCTCAGGGGCAAGAACCCAGCTCCCCAAGCTTGCAAGGCTGCCCATCACCTCTCAGCCTCCCCTCCTCCCCTCTGCCCCGCTCTCCATGCCCTGGGGCGTGCTCTCTGTTCCTGTCATGCCCTCAGCCTTCTCGGCTCTACCCATCAGTACTTCTGGTCTAAGTTTCAGCATTATCACCTCCAGAAACGCCCTCCCTAAGCCCCCCTCAGAAGGGATTCAGTCCTCCTCCACTGCCTTCCCCACAATCCTGCTCTCACCCCAAGCCCCCCGCCACAGCACCTAACCCTGTGAGTGGTGAATTATCTGTGCCATTGGGCTTTCTCCCCCAGGAGGACGAAATTCCCTTGATAGGAGCACCCCGTCCTCACCACCTAGCAGAGGCTGGTGTACAAATAGTAAGTAAATGAGTGTCTGCGTCGACTAAATGTGTGAACGTACGAAGGGATGAATGGAAAGGCTACTTGGGAACTAGTGAAGAAAATCCACAATTAGCATCTACGATGAGCCGGTTGAGTTTAACTCTTCCCGGAAGTGGGGAGTGGGATAAAAATGTATGGATTTGGAGTGGGTGGAAAAGTAAGATGGGTCTTTAAGCAATGTTCCAT